AGGCCTTATTATGGAAAATACTTGCACTGTCTTATATATACTGTTTTGTACTGTTAATTTTTTCTTTTTTATTTCCTTAGTTATCTAATAACAGATAATTTTTTATTTTTCTGCTCACCTTTCCTAATGCCTGAAGCTCAGTGACCTGCATATGATATATATTAATTAACTATGTAAAAAACCACAGGCAAATACCTTGGAAGTGCATTTACTTAAAAGATGCAAATCTGATCTCATCTAACAAATTTAGAAATTTCAAAGCTTCTTCCTAGTATTTAAGATAGACCTGTGATACAACAAGCAGAGAATATTAAGGGAGATCATCTTGAATGTGGTATTTTGCATATTTCAGCATGTGTATCATCTGGGTATTATGGGGATCATTTAATATGAGTACTGCTGGAATACTAAGCATAGTATGAAAATAAAAAAGTGTTCCTTTTGGGAAAAACTTTTCTAGGAATGAACAAATAATCGTGAGCCTCACTGACAACACGGGCACAGGGGAGATCACTAGAAAGAATGAGTCTATCATAGTATGCTCTCATTTTTAGTTATTTCCAAGTGACACAGACCTATTTTCCTTCAATATAAGAAGGAGAGTTAGAGTTGACTTTTACATTTTGAGGGTCACTGGTCACTTTGACCCTAAAAACAGTCTGTTATCAACATTTTAATCAGAATTATACCAATACTGATGAACTCATTAACCCCTTGATCGATTTTTTCACTGCAGCTTTGCCAATTATTTTCCTTATGTTATTTTTATTGGGATCAATTATGTTGCATTTCTACTTCTAAAAAGGTTTAATCCATTTGTATGTTTTAATATCCATATTCAACTTTGCCAGCTGGAATTTGTGCTATTTTCATTTTTCCTTTGTGATCATTACTTCTATTGAGTCCATATCACACTTGTGAGGCAGTCTCAGGGAAGGAGAGAAAGAGGAGAGTGGCAGAGAGTGAGAGAAGAAAGAGATACAAAGAAAGAAACANAAGGCTGAAAAGAAGCCAGATGAGGGGCCAGATGTGGGACCCTCAACTTTAGACTTCCCAGCCTCCAGAACTGTAAGAAATAAATCTCTGTTCTATGAATTACCCAGTCTTAGGTATTTTGTTACAGCAACACAAAACGGACTAAGAAAGTTGGGTGAACACTAACTAAATGTGGGGAGATTTGCGAGAGGAGAAGAATTTATGCTTCCTCTCAGAGAAAAGCAAATGAAAAATTTAAATTGAGTATAAAATAAATTCCCCCAAAGTCTCTGTAGTTAGCAACTTTTTCCCCATTGAAAGCACTGAGAACCACTTTCTATAAGATATTTTTGTTTTTGGTTGGCTTCTCATTTTAACTGAGCTATCCTGCAGGGCAATAATTTCCAGTGCAGCCAGTCTGGTGTGTGGTTTACTAGGGGCCTTCAAAATGGGGATGGATGACTTACCCACTTCTCTATCACACCTCTCCTTGGATTGTGCCCTGTATTCCCACATCTCTCTCCATACATATCCTATCTTATACTACAGCTTCATCTCAAACTTGGGGTGACTACATCATAATATAATGCTTTCCCACGCTCTCCACCTAGTTCCCACTCTGACTTTCCCAAGTCCATCAACTATGCCACCATAATCCTGCTCCTTAGATTTAAAACACTTGGGCATTCCTTTTTCTCTCATCTCCTCTTCTCTCTGCTCTTACCTCTGCTCCACCTTTACCTCTATGTGGCAAGACTGCCTGGGTTTTAGATTCTACCAAATGTTGTAGACTCTGGCTACTGACTTAATTTTCCCACTCTCTTCTTTTAGCCATACTACTGCTGCAAAGCCATTACTCTCTCCAGGACAGCCTTCTGATCTACCCAGGTCCTGGGTTTTAATTTTAATCACTCTTATGATCCCAGTACCAACCCAGTATGGAAGAAGACTTACTTGATGACTTACTTCTGATCTTCTACTAACTCCTTCCTCCTTCCTTTCCCATGATTCAAATCTTTCATATCCTTCCAGGCTCAACATGGAAATTCTCCTTTCATAATATTTCTTTGCTAACTTATATCTCTAAATCTACTATAATTATAGTAGTTAATATTGAGTAAGCTTAAAAAAGGGGCTATGCCAATGAAAGTGAGCCGGACTACAACAAGCACTGTGCTTACAGGACACATACCTTACAGGAGCCTGCATTTCCTTAGTGTAAAGAGCATTGGCTTGGTTTGCATTTAGTTTCCTTTATGGCGCCTTTATGGATAACACTTTCTCAAAATTTCTGCATTTTGTTATCTATGATCAGTGACAAGAAAACAGAACAAAATGCTTCGTCTTTCCCTTGTTGATTATGCAGGACCAAGAAAATCTTGGGCTAGGTCTTGTCTCGGTGTGTGCCTGCTGGTTTCTCAGAAATCACACATACCCTTGGTACTACCATGTTGGGTGTGAGAGCCTGTGTTTCTCTAAGGACATTATCACACAAGATGCCAATTCCCACAAGAAGGGAAAAACAACAACAACAAAAAAAGTCACTGGCTAGGACTCCAGAAATATTAAAAGCTCTCCTGCTTTTTTTCTATTGATAAAGATCCCAGGTGCTTATTATAGGATAGGGACTTCTATTAGTCTGCCCTCTGTCGCTTTTAACAAATACCTGAAACTGGGTAATTCATAAAAAAATGAAATGTATTTCTTACAGTTTTGAGGCTGGGAAGTCCAAGGTCCAGGGAATACCTCTGGGGGGAACCTTCTTCTTGGTGAGAACTCTGCAGAGTCCCATGGTGACCCAGGGTGTCATGTGGTGAGGAGAGGAGGAGCAAGGGTCAACGTGCTCACTTCTTCTTTCAAAGCCACCAGAGTCACTCTCTGATAACCCATTAAACCATTACCCCATTAATCCACGAATGGATTAATCCATCCATGAAGACATAGTCCTCATGATCCAATCACCTCTTAAAGGCCCTATATTTCAAATTCCATAGTTGGATTTCCCACCTTCTTAACACTGTTACAATGGGGATCAAGCTCCAATACATGANCCAAGAATGACACTGTAGACATCAACTCAAGGGGGCTGCTTGATTATCATAATCTGGATTTGTTGATGATGCAGACAGGACTTTTGAATAGTTCTCACATTAAGTGACTGTTTCTTGCTTCTCTACTACACTGGCTCTCAAAGTGTGGTCCACGAAACCTGGTGTGTGGGAACCTATCCTTAATAGTAAAAACTATTTTCATAGTAGTACCAGTAACAATAAAATTCTGTGTTGGCATTTGCAGTGATGCGGTGGAAGTAACAGTGGGTAAAACTGCTGGCGCGTTACTATGGAATCAAGGCAGTGGTAGCAAACTGTACTAGTAATCATTGTACTTTTCACCAACATACACCGGCAGTAAAAAATTGCCAGTATCAAATAAGAATGTCCTTGATGAGCAATAAAAAAAATATTAATTTGATTAAATCTCAACCCTTAAGTACATGTCTTTTTAATAGTCTATATGACCTAATGGGACATAAAGCACCTCTGCATCCTGAACTATGATGGTTGTTCCGAGGAAAAGTGTTTGTGTAATCATCTGAGGATTGAGTTAAACTACTCACTTTTCCATGGAAATCCATTTTTGTTTGGAAGAATGACCAGCACACTATGGTTGGTCAGACTTGGCGATGTGACAGACATTTTCTTAAAAATGAATGAAGTGAATCTGTCACTTCAAGAAAAACAACTGTTTTGTGGCTGGTAATAAAATTTGTACTTTAAAGTACAATTCAAAGTCTGGAAAACTTGGATACACTCTGTGAACTTGACAGCTTCCCAATACTTAAA